TTCTGCAAAAGGGGCGTGTGCACAAGTATTCCTTTTATAGTCTGGAGAGGAGTGTAATTACTACCAGCTGAGTGCAATTACCTCCTGTAACTGCGCAACTGTTCCTTACGCCTATTAGCTCTCCGGTGCCGGGCATCCAGGAAGAACTCACTGCTGACGTCAGGATCAAGCTCCCTTGTCTCCTCCCCACTGGTCCAAGGCTCAGGCGCCTCCTGGTGGCCAACCAGCCTCTCTGCACCCTGCTCGGAGTCGTAACCCAGTCCAGGGTCCTCCACATCCTCCAGAGCCGACTCATAGGGCCCTTCGCTGTCGGAGTCTGGTGGCAGCTCCAACGGCTCCTGCTGGGCCACAACACACATCATAGCATAACATAACAACCTAAATAGAGAAACTTGATACTTTCCCCCCGGAATGTCAGGATTTGATACAAGATCGCCGGTTCTTTTCAAGCATTAGAAATAGCATGTGAGCATTCCACTACAGATAACCCTAAATTACATTCACAATTGAGCCCAACTCAATTTTGGTTGCTAAGCAAGAGATTTAAGTGACTTTTGCACCTTTCTTGCCACATGTGTTAAGTGAATCACTGCAGTAACACAGTTGTTAAACCAACCTGGCTTACCCATTGATTTTGTTTGCAGAAGGACCTGATCCAGGAACCCTGCAACTGTCATAAATATGAGTCAGTTGCCAAGGGTCTGAATTTTGATCGGGTGACGATGGAGATGCTGTAATAGTAGCAAGTGTGAAAAACGGCCATAATTCACTTTTTACACTGCTGCTGTAACTTCGAACGGTTGCTGCGTTAATTACTGTAAGCCGAGGACTACCAGTAAAACCTTTCCATAATAATATCAAGCAATTGGGAAGCCTTCCTTGATTGGATCTTGTTTCTCTACTAGCTTCCACTTAGGAGAAGACCTTGTAAGAATTTGCTATAACTGTTATTAAGGAGTGTTAAATCAGCCCTGTCCCCTGAAAAAAGGCTAAAGGAGGCAATAATCCTATTTTTATTTTTAATGATGCTCTTTCTAAATTTCAAACAGTTTTAACGAGTTATCTTGCCAGTTATACGTGGCTAAATTTCAGCATTGCTATGTACAAGTTGCAGAAAAAAAGGGCTGAGACTGATTGATTTTTTGAGGTTTGCAAGAAAAGCAGTTATTACTATCTTAAAGACTGTTAAAACTCTTTTTGCCACGGCGTGACTGAGCTGCTGTTGCAGAACATGATCTTCATTTTCAATACTCTCTGTCAGCTTCCCAGCCAGACTTGCAAAGCCTTGTTCCCTCTCCCAGCCTGCATCACCCATTTATCTCCCTGCTCTGCCTGTTTTGGAAGAAAGGGGAAGGGAGGTTTCTGATCTTCCCATAAGGACACTCAATGGGGAAGCTGGCACGAATTCAGAAGTCACTCTCACTCCCACTGCTTTTTTGCCTACCTGTGGTCATTCTATTGTTCTATTTAGGTAAGGAAATATCTCCGAAACAATCCCCAAGAGGACACGAGTTGTCTAGTGCCACTTAAAAACTAGAAATAAATGATATATTCAACTCGGTAGACCAGTATTACCAAGTCTCTTGCTGCATTGGATTTTTATGCAAATCGTCATGTGGGTGTGATGAAACAAATTGTAGTAGCAATTGTAATACATTGATGAAAGAAATGTCCTTCTGGGTTCGGCTCCAAGTGGGGAAGAAGACACTGGAGACACGGAGGCTGCTTGGAAAGAT